ATTCTTTGCAAGTAGGAGTTAACAATATTCAATAAAATCATAAAACCCTGGAGTCGTTCGACCCCTGCTGAATTTTAGTCGAGTACTACTGCTTTTTAAATGTATTTAATAGCGCATTAAATACATTCCGATAAGTAGAGAAAGGTCTGAGGCAAATTTCACCATGTGCGACAAAGTTTTGAAAGTTTATGCTTTTTTCTTGATGACAGACTTTATTTCTGCGGTCAGCCAAAGAGGCTCATGTTTTCTAATCGTGACAAACTTGATGGAAAAAGATGCATTGTAAATTTGGGAAAGTTCGGCCACACAAGACTGCATTACAATGTTCGGTTAATCAATATTAGTTTGAAATTCAGAAAAAATGGTTCATTTTCTCCCTAAACTTTTCAATATAGTTAGCATTAATAAACCGAGTTTTTTTTCCTAGATTGAGCAGTCAAAAACCAAGTTTCAAAATAAGAGAAAGTAATCAAATGATCTGATAAGTTACAGTCAATAACGGCTGTTTCTGGGTTTGATCCATAAAAATTACACCAAATATGATCAAGCACGCAGTGAATATTAGGCGTAATAGGATTTTTAGGGAAGATTATGGTGTGTTTAGTTATGATGGATAAAAAGCTGGAAGTTCTACTCTCTTGCTCAAAAATCACAGGCGGTAATCAATAAAATTCGATGTATCTCTCGTGAAAATATTATTTTCGATCGAATAATTATCTTTTGGCAATAGACGAAACAAACAATATGAAAACTTTGATATTTTGTTGCTGTGAAAACGCAATATATTTTATTCGACTAATTATTCCTGCCTCTTAGGTCATCGTTTGTGCATGCTATTTACCTATTCCTCAAGTCGAAACTTCATGTTGCTTAAATGGAGCCACTTACATGAATTTATTTCTGTTTTCCCTTTGATTGCCACAACGCAAAAATTAATATTAGTGTCATTACTTAAGAATATTCTATTGGCTGAAGTAATAAATATTTCACGAGTTATTTTGTGATATTTCCGATTTGATGAGATTATCTTTGAGGGACTGAGGAATGCCTGATCGAGCTGCGTCACCGAAGCGTGGCATGAACCTAGTGAAAGTGTGGCAGCCTGTGGCAGCGTTGTGGCAGGTCGTCCGCTACCTCTGTAATTGCGACCTGCAGCACACTGCACCTGAGTCGGATTGTAGGGTAACATGGGGCAGCGAGCCCACTGCGGGTCACGGGCCCATAGCGGGTTTCTCGCTAAGTATGGCAGATATTGGTCCGTGTTCTCTACCGCCGGTCGACAGTTTCACTGGAATGAAGTGTACGGATTTACGTTTTGCTAAATATTTGCGTTATTAAGTTCTTTGCGAATAACTGTTTTAGTCCAGATAAAAATTTTTTTGCCGCTAAATAAAGTTTTTTTCCATTACTATAGATACACTTTTTACAAAATAGTGTTTCATTAAAAATCGAATAACTCTATAGGCGTCTAATTCACATCATACATTCCTCATTAGTTGCACCTTTAAACAAAACAAAGAACCACCTCGTATCAATTAAAACTTCATCAAAAATTTAGTTTACAAAAAGTGGGGGGCGCGCTGCCCCACGTTGCCCTAATTGTTAAAGAGTGCAAGATGTTTGCTACCGTTGTGGACTATGTTGATCTCCTCAGTGCAAAGAAGTGGTGGGATAACGTAAAGGTATAAGTAGTGCAAGAGTAAAATTAACGAAATGGTAAAAAATAGAGCAAGGTTGAAATGAAAAATTTAGGAATTGGTACCCTCCAACAGCTTCACCCTCTTTCGAAAAAGCTCCTTCTCATAGACCACAATGACTAAGTTTTATTTAGATGTCAATGATGTGATGTAAATTGAGATTTAGCAATTTTTTGCTGACATTTCAACATGAGGCGAAGATTAAGAATTGAGGAAAGTGGTGGTTTTTCTAATGGTGGTTGAGATTTTGTGTTAGAAGTTACAATGGCCGTCCCTCTTCCCGAATTAGTTGATGTAAATATTACGTAGGTTGAAGTAAAGAATATGATGCATTTAATTTATTTATGGGTTGAAGAATGATGACGCCAACCAACACCTGTACGTATAGTTGCGGTCGCTAGAATAGACATGACATGGACTAAAATATAACAATATAAAAAGAATACAGAGAACACAATTAGTAATTCAGTTATGACCGTTACACTGAAATATTGTATTACATCATAGTAATTAAATTCTAGCGGAGACCTTAGCAGCTTACCACAGCAGATGTTAACACAGCAACGATGCCCAGAAAATGAAGCTAACGCCTGATTGTCTGATGTTGCCCCACTGGGCATTCTAAACAAAATTCACTATATTTGATGGCACAATTTAAACATGAAAGTATTTTCGACATTTGCTAACCTTTTTTTTATTCAGAAATTACACAAATATTATTCGTGCTTGAGAATTGACGATTTACTGACTGAATATTTTTATTATTATTTAATAGTGAAATTGATGTAATCCGAAATAAGTCGACGAATTCAAGTTAATTAATTTACATATAGTTACAGAGATTGATGATCAACGAGTTTGAAGGTTTAATACAATTGATTTCGACATTCACAAGTAAAGATAGTGCGAGACATAAATTCGAGTCACTGCAGAATTATCTTAAGGAGTCAGTCAACACGTGCCCAAATCGAACAAGAGTTTAGTATATGGCTTCTATTTTGCTATAAGAAAATAATAATGGTGGTTGATTTTATGTTTACTGCTTATTTTATATATTGATAAACTATTTAAATAAATTTTTATTGATCATTGTTTAAGTTTGTTTTATTGTAGCGACATGACAGAGCCACTCACAGATGCTCTATTAAACTTCAAGAGTCGCTGTACTTTTTTGGGCAAACTGTAAAGCCGAATGTCGACTAAACTCAAAACAGGCATTGACGGAGACAATTTCAATCAGGTATGATGGATAGCCATCAAAATAGTATTAGTGTCGGAAGTATTCACGAACCAACCAGTATCATTGCTCTATTTACTCAGGCGCTTTTAACGGTAGGCCGATGATTAATTGAATTGTATGAAAACGGAAGGAGTACGAAAGAAGCAGTGTGAAGAAATAACTACTGGAGTAAAGTCTTGGTAAAAAATTATATATAAAGGTAAGGAAACACAGCATTTCTACTTTGTTCCATTACAGCTTGGCTGTAAAAGTTGAATCTGACTGCTCCATTACTGTTTTTTTAAATCAGTGACAAACAATAGATCAATTTATAACGTCTTCGTTTTAGCCAAGTCTAATTCCGGTGAATTTAATAAGTACTATTATTTAATATATAATAATATTAGATATTATTTATAAAAAATTATTACATGAAAATCTTTGTTAAACCTGTTAAATGGAACAAAGATGTGCCGTTAGAGCGGGCAAGTGAGGCATTTCACTATGTACAGCACCGTTATTTCGGTTCGTGATGCCGAATATAATGGCATACATCCATTAATAATTTATTACTATTGTTGTGAACGGAGACCTGGGTAATGTAATACATCTGAACTCTTCAATGCATATTTTTGGTGGTCTGCAATTCGATGCTGAAGAAGCTCATTCATTTTCTTCTCCGTTATTTTTATTAATGATGTTGCGTGATGAATTTTCCAACTACTTGTGTATAGTTCAGATGTATCATCCGATTTTATTGATACAGTTTGATAGCAAAATCGTGATCCAACGTGGATCTTTATAGGTACACGTTCCACGAAAGTATTTCTTACGATTGCAATACGGTATACTCATTGTTTGAATTGTGCCAATCTTTCTAGACTACCTCCTTTAAAAAATCGCTCGGAGTGAAGAAAAACTTGTGCCCAACATTTCTTAATATCAAACAGTAACATTATAATTCGATCAAGAATATGATTATTAACGCTCTATCCGAAACCAGTTAGAAACTGAATATTATAATCATGGCTAGGCAACGCCAGGTGCAGGGTTCTTAAGATGACATATAAGGCTGTCTCCTGTCAAACGAACGTGGGATGATACGCTCGATAATTTATGACAGTCTCCCATGTTTAGCTTGTACATTTGTTCGAATGTGTGCAGGCCCATGCGATCTGCTCTCCTTATTCAGAGCGAGAGATGGTATGTGCAGGGCCCTTAAGCAACAACACATATCTTTATGCAAATGTGGTTGCAGTTTAATTGCTACTTGTTGTGTCTATGTGCGACTAGGTATCACCATATTTAGTAGTTATTATTGGTTGTGTTAGTGAGGGCTTTTCTGCCTAACGTTGTTGCTATGTAGTTATAAGTACTTATGTCTGAGGTGGTTTCTGTGTAGTTGAAAACATTTGTGTCTGTGTAGAACTGCATACCTGAAACCACAACGTCCTGATATATGACTAAGCAACGTCCTACCCTGTGTTTATGATTATCACTTCGTTTCTTAAATATGATCGTTAAAATTGGTAACCAATTATAACATTTATAGATAATTTACCGTAACGGACCATGAATTAGGTGACCTCTTGAAGCGTGTAGTATGTAAGGTATCTTCTAAACATTCGGGCGCGGCCAGACTCAAGATTTGGCGATCGTTTCGCCTCTGTCGCTAAAACGCGTTCACAAATAGTTCATGTCCGCTCTAAGAGCTTTCCTGCTATCGCATACATGCATGCATGGCTAACGTGAGCTGAAGTCCTGATATTCGATGGCTGTTTTTAGGAACCAAAAGTACTTGTACTACTTTGCAGCATATGTAGTCAAGTTGCGCGCGAGACAAATGACATGAGTGCACAGGGAACTATAGATGATGGGTACTTCAGGTTTGACGCTTACTCTGTTCCGACGTTCATACCATTAGACCTCATATATATACAGTGACGCATGCAATTCAAGGATTCCTTAATCTTCTATTTTCCTGCAGGTAGTCGGTAGTTTTAAGTAACTGAAGTCTACGACTATCGTCACTTAGTTTGCGGCAGTTTTTAACATCAAAAACCTGCCCTTCTCTTTTCCACCAGATGACTTGCAGTTCGATATCAGCAACATGGTGGACGCACCTGGAGAAGTTAAAGGACTCTTTCCCCTCGTGGTGAACTTGGCGAGCTCTTCCACCATATCAGCCAATTCCACTTGTGGTGAACGCCAGGCGGAGGTGAGGCAGGCATGACGCTTCACTGTTACGTCAACCAATTTAATTTGCATCCTTTACATTGAAGGATTTGAAAAAAATGTAAACTCTTTCTCTTCTCTTATCTCTTTTCTCATTTAATTGTCGTACTTGACTTCCATTTATTCTTTTCTTATTTACATGTCGTCCTTGACTTCAATTTATTCTTTTCTTATTTACATACATGTCGTACATGACTTCCATTTATTGACATAATTTAAAAATGTATTATTAAATTAAGAGAAATGTATAATTACTCCCAGTCCACCTCACTTGCAATACACCTGCTCCAACACGCGCTGTTGGTTCAACACGCGCTGTAGGTTCAACACGCGCTATATTCGTCGCTATATCCCTCACTATATTCGTGTCACGGAAGTTATCGCCGAGCAGACGTACTGCCGCGTGAGCCAGCCAGGCCGGGGCCGGGAGGAGCAGTGCGGCGTGTGCGACGCTCGCTCCCCCGACCCAACACGGCGCCACCCGGTGGACCGTGCCACCGATGGCACCTCGGCCTGGTGGCAGTCCCAGTCCCTGGCCGCCGGCGACCATCTGCACTACGTCACCATTGATATTGACCTGCAGCAGGTGTGTGCAACACGTCACCATTGATATTGACCTGCAGCAGGTAGGTGCACTACGTCACCATTGATATTGACCTGCAGCAGGTAGGTGCACTACGTCACTATTGATATTGACCTGCAGCAGGTGGGTGCACTACGTTACCATTGATATTGACCTGCAGCAGGTGGGTGCACTACGTCACCATTGATATTGACCTGCAGCAGGTGGGTGCACTGCGTTACCATTGATATTGACCTGCAGCTGGTGGGTGCACTACGTTACCATTGATATTGACCTGCAGCAGGTGAGTGCAACACGTCACTATACGATACCAACATACTGCACGTCATTCGGAATAGCTACCAGATTATCCAAGTGATCCTTGATACCGACCACACCAACATTAGACATCGTCGATGTCATGCAATGCAATGTTTCTCGATGTGTCTTATTAGGTTTGCTTGAATTACCTCAATGCTTCCTTATCGTCATTGTGGATTAAAAAATTTAAATTTTCTCAAAAAGATCAAGTATGAAAGTCAGGAATCAGGTTTACCAAAATCCTGTATCTTTAAATTTATATTAGTTTCTATAGTTTATTATTTGGCGTTAAATTTCACATATGTTGAATGAACTGTGACTGGAGTGGTATGAATGTCGATGTGCATAGGAGTAGCCAAGTGTATATGTAGGTAGCGCGCCGCGTGCGTGGGCTTCCTTCTTCAGCACGAGTTCACCGAGGCTCAAATACCCAGAGCTAACGAGACCGTTTTTTTTATTACTCATCTTAGGACACAGACAACCTCCCTCAGTCTTAACCTAATTTTACATTTTAATAATAATTTCATGTTGTGTTTTTCTTCAAGAGACCAAGATTCGTGTTTTTCATCTTGGTATTTTTGAAAGCTCTTCCTTCTATCACCGAGTTTTACGTAATAATGGCAATTTCATGTAGCGTTTCTACAGTGAATCACTTGCAAACCATTTTGAGGGCAGTTTTCCCCTGAAATATTTTCATAAAACTTTTATATGGCCATCGTAATCGTTTTCACCATAAAGTGTAATTACGGCGCAGTGATATAAATTGAAATGATAAGAACAGTACATGACAAGGGTTAGAATATCTAATTTTTCGACTTCATTCGTCACAATTTATGTATGTGTGGCATTGGTCTTATCTTCTTTGAGTAATTCTCCATTGTAGGATCAAAAAATTAAGTACAAAAAAGATTACCTACTGCTGTGCGACTCTGAAAATATCGACTACAGAAGCTTCGCAATATGAAGACAAATTTTTACCGCAAAAATCTAATTAAACTGATTTAAAACCTTGATCTAGCAATTAAAGCTTTTTCATAGACTGATTTTTTTAACCTTTTGCAAACTAGTTTTCGCTGGGAATTGCAGACACAGCAGCAACGCTATAAATTCAGCGCCGAACTACATTTCAACGAAGCATATATAAAGAGTATAGATTTAAAAATTGTTTCATATAGCAGCTATCCGTGAGCATTTTGACTGTAGCAACTTCAGCACGAAAAGCCACCGCTTATTTCAAGGCATCATTAATGATTCATTTCCAAACTGCAAATTTTCGGTAACATCAAGGATCGATTTAAAGACAGTTACTTTTTCCATATTTTCAAAGCAATCATCCCTTAGCTTTGTTTGCGTATCACCTTCACCACAAAGGGCCGCCGCGCGTCACAAAGAAGTCTCTGAGTAGCACCTGCGCATGGGTCAGGACAGCTCGTGGGCACGCACCGTCGCCAGGGCGCCGCGCGTGCGCATCAGCGTAAGGGCGTCGCCGCATTGCGCACGTCGAGCGCTGCACGTGGGAGGCAAATGTCTCGTCTACGCGGGGCCCTCCGCTCATTGCTAGGCATGCTTTGTTCCCACGCCGGCTAGTGGTCTGTCTAGATCAATAGTGCAATGATCGAAATGCTTCATCATTATATAGAAAAAATAGAACTCAGTACTCACTGCAGTGGGTGACAGAGAGCGCATTTTCTCGTCGACGAAAACTTGAAGTCACGGACGAACGGACAGACAGGCGGACGGACGGACATGACGCGCATAATAGCGCCTTTTTTCCCATAAATGAGAAAATGCTCTAAAAAAGATCCAAACAGGATACCTCCATATTTTTTATCATAAAAATCATCTTCATGTTAGAGAATAACTCTGCTACTCTATAGTAATTTACGTAACAATGAAAGTTTACCTTGTTTTCACTCAAGCGTTTCTTAACTTACTACCAAGATAATATTCGATTTCACTAGCGATGAAGTGTATTGTTAATTGACTTTGGACCAAAATTGCATGATTATAGCTTCATGCTGCCCCTGTCGTCCCTATTCGTCGTAGTATACGAGTTTAAGAAAATAAATTTCACTCTCATCTGAAGTGTATTTTTATGCAAACATCCTATGCCATTGCAAATATCCTGCAAAAAATTATAATGACAGGCGCACGACCGGAAATTTATGCTGCAAATTGTTGCTGTCGTTGTCACCAGCAGCGCGCAACATTTCAATTGTCCTTCCGAACTCATCTCAGAAATACTGAACATTATTCACCGATATATACTATATAGCAAGTACGGTTATCATGATCAGGTTTATCACCTGGCTTGAAGACGCGGCATTTTAAGTATCATTAATATATTTCTTCTCAAAAAACTACATCACAGAAATACTGAACATTATTTTCTGATATAAACTGAGCACAGTTCTCTCGATGAGGTGTACCACGCGGCGTAAGCACGCGACATTTCAAATGTCATTATTATATATCCTTATGAATCCATCACAAAAATACTAAACAATATTATCAAAAAATATAAGAAACACGCTTCTCGTGTGCAGGTCTATCACGTGGCGTACGTGATCATCAAAAGCGCGATCTCACCACGGCCAGGGAACTGGATCCTGGAGCGGTCGCTGGACGGCAAGCAGTACTCGCCGTGGCAGTACTACGCCGTGTCTGACCGTGCCTGTCGTGACACATATGGCATAGCGCCCACGCCCGGCAGGCCACGGTACACACACGACACCGAGGTCATCTGCACCTCGTACTTCTCCAGGCTCACGCCCTTTGAGGGTGGTGAGGTTAGTGTCATTTAATTCTGTAGCATTATATGGGGTTGTTGGCTAGCTATGTGCTATAGACAAGAAGCAGATAATTTTTTTTTACATTCTGGTACTTTCGGGGTCATGTTCATTGCTCGGTTTTCGTAAAATTACTGTTTTTTTCATCCCTTAGGGGGAATTAAACAGCAAGAAGGAACTCATTAAATTTTTACGAATTATGTTAAAAAATTTTGTGAGTTCTAACCGTGAACCACGTACCTGATCGGATTGCACTTGATCATGTCAGAGTAGCGGTGAGCCGTAAAGTTAGAGGCGTGTCTCGATAGCCTTATTATTGTGAGGCTCCTGTCTTGGTTATCGGTATTCGCCTACCTCGTATGTACCTGATCTTGGCTGCATGATTAACTAGTTTATTATTTCTTCAAAGTTTTGAACACAAACGGTAAAAATACATATTTTTTCAAGAAACTATGGTTCTTAACTGCAACTCAGGCTGGTTCTTATACCTTTTGAGCGGCGAGTTGAATTCATAGCCTTTGAAAGATTCAAGAGGCATTGTTATTATTTGACCTCTTTCTCGTTTGCCAGTATAGGTTACCCATGTTTGACTCTCACTTTTAAAACAACGATGTTGCACACGTTCCCGCAACATATTTTAATTAATTTCTTACGAATAGCAGCCGAGACAGGCTCATCGTCGCCGGTCTGCATGGGGGGCGTAACTATTTATAGGCTAAAGAAACGAAGATGAATGGAAAATAAAATAATTGTTCAGTTAATAAACAGTGAATTTAATCGGCAAATTGATCGAAGACTCGTATTTTACATTATGTAAATAGCGATACAGCCAAAAATGTATAAAGTACAAATTATTTTGAGGCCCTAGCGCAATTAAAACGGCAGGTCTAGCCAAGACACGCTGGCAGGATCCTGAGAACTGTAGAGGGGCTGGTGCCGAACTTGAAGCCTGCTGGCCTGTTGTCAGTCTGGATCAAATTCTCATGCGTATCGTTGACGATTAGTTAAGGAACAAAAATACCCTAGCACGCGAGGAGCAAAGCAAAAAAAAAACATCATTAATACGACGTACTACTTTTAATGAAAGATGTATCTTATTCAGCACATGGTTGAAATCTGGGTGATTCTGAATAATGTTTTCAAGAATTAGTAACTGATTCAACAACACTTAGAAACAATAATTTAGGAAACATTCTCTCACCATAGCCATCAAAAGTTTAAGTCGACATAAATTTACTAGAAATATTGATGTAGCGGCTACCCGTGCATGACAAGTTGGCCTCCTCGAACAAGTGAGATCCTGTGCCTTTTTTTAAATGTTTCCCAGGAGTTGCCAGCGGAAACCTACGTAAATGTTGCCATTAAGATGCACTCTAGAACCCAAAGCCTTGTACCTGACTATTACAACAACGTGTCGAGTAGATTCCATGAGTAAATATGTTTTGATCATCATGAAAGCTTCACGAAACATTCTATTAAAGTGGCCTGAAAAATTAGAATGCATGGTGCTCAACTTTCATTTTTTCGAATTTGAACATTAAGAAGTTGGCATGAAGGAAACCTTTAACAAAATAAGTGCGGTGCGATTCACTATTTCTGTAGATTGAAATAATATGTTGATATGCCGTAAAATGTTCAGGTGCACACGTCGCTGGTGAACGGTCGTCCGGGTGCTGCGGGTCCGTCGGAGGCGCTGCAGGAGTTCACAGCGGCGCGGTACATCAGACTTCGCTTCCAGCGACTCCTGAGTCTTGATGGTGAACTGGAGGGCCGGCGCCCCGACCCTGCGGTTGCCAGGTGAGGCCCTGGAGAGGCGGCGCCTCAACCCCGTTGTCACTTAGCCTCATTTGAAATCAAATTTAAGGTGCCGCAAACCTATAAATTACTTACTATTGAAGGTAACTGCCGCATGATTTCGAAACGCAAATGTAAACTTACATAGACAAATGATAACATCAATGGAAGTTTAGAGTGAGTGAAGTTCAGCTCTCTGGCAGCAAACTATGATTGACAAAAATTAATCGCAACGGTAGTATAAAATAAAGAATTGACGCTCAGCTCGCCGGCAGGAAATACTTCTACTCGCTGAAGGACATCAGCGTGGGGGGGCGCTGCGTATGCCACGGTCACGCGGACTCCTGCGAGGTAGACACCGGCCAACAGGTTAGCCAGGGCCTCTTTTCCATTTTCTGTTTGATCGTTTTTTTATTCTTAAAAGGGCGGGAAAATAATTAGGACGGTTTATGTGTCAGTAATAGATGTAATTTAAAAGGAATTTTAATTTTGTGAATTTTACTTTACCACCGTGTGAAATTTTAACTTTTGAATGTTGCTCATTTCATTTTAGTCTATACGCTCCATTCACGTCTATTTACTAATTTTTCATTGTAATAAGTTTTGTGAATACGTCTATTCGACAAAAATTAAAAAATTTGTGATGCCGGCAGCGCTGTTCATGCCAGCACAACACGTGTGGTCCACAATGCGACCGCTGCTGTGCCATGTACAACCAACTGCCATGGCGACCTGGCACTTTCCTGGACGCGGCAGAGTGCCAGCCGTGCGAGTGCCACGGCCACGCCACGCAGTGCCGCTACGACCCGCAAACTGCCAAAGATGCGCTCTCCCTCAACACCAGGTAAACTACTGGCGTGAAGACGCAGTTAGTAAAACCGAGGTGGTTGTTGCAACGGCGGATAACGTGGTTTGAAACTCAAATGTACGTGTAATATTACGTCCAGCACACAGTCCCATTAATACTACCAGTAATATTACCTCTAATATTAGGTATATGGAGGTGTAGAGAAGACTTTTTGTAGCTTTATTATACTCGAGCACAACAACATTAGAATGTCTAGCGTGACTAGCGTAGCTCTAATTCATGCTGTAACAAGATTCTTCCTGTAACAAAAAGAAGTTTGAGATGCTCGACGAATGAGAAATATCTTAAACTTAGCACTAGTAACGTCATGCGTAAATAAGCACATTCTACAGGATACTTCAACACTGCGTGATCTGATTATCAACATGAAAGAACAATAACTCACAAGAAATTTATTAAGGTTCCCACGATCTATAATTCAATGAAAAATTTCTTGTGTTGGAGCTTTCAAAGCCAGCAATAAAAGAATGTTCATTTCCCCTCATCACTTCTGCTCGATACTCTATAGATTTGTTAATGCATCGTAAAAAATATTATTATTTGCATCAAATTATTTTAGCAATAAATGAAAATTTGTGTTCAGAGGAGAATACGTGGGTGGAGGAGTCTGCGTCAACTGCCAGCACAGCACCGAGGGCGTCAACTGCGACCGCTGTATTGCCGGCTACTACAGACCACAGGTGTGCACTCCTCGATTTATATTCATAACACCAGATATTTTCAAATATTTTAATTTGCGTTAATCTTCGAGCTAATAATGATGTCTTCGACGTAACTGCCTCCAAGTCCTAACGCGGAAGGCAAATGTATGTTTTTTGTCGGAGTTTCCATCCCCGAGTTCCGGTATTATTTGACTTCTTCCGTCAGCGTCATTAACTGCCGTCATTGACTTAGTTCATTAACTAAGTCACTAGTTCTGTGTTTAATAGTTCTGTGTCTTAGTTCATTAACTAAGTCACTAGTTCTGTGTCTAATAGTTCTGTGTCTTAGTTCATTAACTAAGTCACTAGTTCTGTGTCTAATAATTCTGTGTCTTAGTTCATTAACTAAGTCACTAGTTCCACTAAGTTCTGTGGAAAATGTAGAATGTCGAGATTTCATTCACCCCCAACGATAAGAGCATGTTTTATCGCGTCCAACATACAAGACCATTATATATGTCCAATAATATTACCTGTAATATTGAACTAAGTAATATTAATTATTATATTACCTTTAATTTTACGTCCATCATACAGTCTCATTAATATTACTAGTAATATCACCTGTAATATTTCGTCCAACATAGCCTCATTCATATTGCTATTAATATTACCTTTAATATTACGTCCAACACATAGTCCCGTTAATATTACCAGTAATATTAATTATTAATTTCCCGTTAATATTACCTGCAATATTACGCCCAGCACAGTCCCGTTAATATTATCAGTAACATCACGTCCAACACACAGTCCTGTTGCTGTTACCAATAATATTACCACTCAATAATAAATTTACGCCCCAATTGGTTGAGTACGTGTGCGTCATGACAATACTCTGTTATCAGGGCACATCACCGCGGGCCGAGAAGCCGTGCGAGCCATGCGGGTGTGGGGGCCCGGGTGTGACGGGTGAGTGTGTGCGCGATGACACGCGCATCAACCTGGGCATCTTCCCTGGCGCTTGCATCTGCCGTGTAGGCTTCGAGGTGAGTCTGGGCCCTTGAATTTTACTCAGCTATTGAAATTCATGGTACACGTTCTCTCATGCTTGCATGAATACGTCGTTTTTTTATTATTAATCATGTTCTAAATCACAGATAACAATTTCTCTTCAAATGGTTCCGAGAGAGATTTGTTTGATTTCGCATCTCCGTAGTGTTGTTTTGAAAACTTCTTCACACTAGGTTACTAATTAACTCCAGATTCGTCATGAGTGCAAAATTTAGATCTTATCATTGCCTACGAAAAATAAATTATTATTTTTCTGATCTTATCGTTGCCTATGAAGAATTATTTTTTCGGTGCACAGGGCCCGCGGTGCGACCGCTGCGCCCCCGGGTACCGCAATTATCCTTCGTGCGAGGCTTGCCCCTGCAACAGGGCAGGCTCCATCACCGACGCCTGCGAGGGGGATTGTCGCTGTAAGGTGGGGGACTGTCGCTGTAAGGTGGGGGACTGTCGCTGTAAGGTGGGAGACTGTCGCTGTAAGGTGGGGGACTGTCGCTGTAATGCTGTAAGGTGGGCGACTGTCGCTGTAAGGTGGGGGACTGCCGCTAGGCATAATATTACCTGCACTATTGCGCCTAATACGTGTAATATAAGTATATGCATGCATGTAATACGTGCCTAATGCAGTCCGTGTAATATTACTTGTCAAATAACAGAGCAACGTGCGAGGCGAGCGCTGCGACGTGTGCAAGGAGGGAACCTTCAGCCTGGACGAGCACAACCCCCTGGGCTGCACAGAGTGCTTCTGTAACGGCGCCACCGACATATGCGAGGCTGCCAAGCTTCCTGTCTATACCGTCAGTACTGCATCATCTTCTTGCATCCATCATACTGCATCCACACACTTCCACTCGCCATCTTGCATCCATCAGCCTGTATCGAACAACCATCTTCCTGAATCCGTAATCTTGCGCCCATTATTTTGAGTCCATCATCCGGCATCCATCATCGTGCTTTCATAGCCATCATATGCTGCTAATCATTCTCTCTGTTAAACCGATAAACTCAAAATTATATTTTTTATTATAGCAGTTATTACTTAATCCTCATAATTCCTCGTGCCAGCTTTCAATTCTGTTTGCCCGTCAAAAAACCCCAGTCGTGTTCCTTATTTATACCACAAGCATTAGGTTATCACTGCCTGCCACCCTTCAGGTAGTGGAGCACGGCAACTGGCAAGTCTCCGACCTGCTGGGGCGCCGCGTCATCGCTGCCGCCGTGGACGGTTCTGACGCTAAAGTCGCCCACGACGACATGGCTAAGTTCAACGCTTACTACTTCGTCGCCCCTCAACACTACCTCGGCTCCAGGTGATCATGACGCGGTCATGGCTGGTGTGTACACTAGCAAGTTGGTAACGATAATAAACGCGCAACTTATTTAATACAATTTTCGACGCTGTCCCGTTTTCCCGGCTGCAGGCCATCAGAGAATAACAAAGATGCAAGTATTGCTCTCATGGGCGTTGCTCTCAATACTCGTCTAGGTACGCGTAGCGGAATAAGTACATATAGCGGCCTATGTATACGTAGCGGTCTATGTACATGTAGTGGCCTATGTACACGAATCGCCTTATGTGCGCGTAGTGGCCCATTTCGCGTAGACCTATGATAGGTGACAGTTGCAAACTTATAACTATTGATGACAGCGCAGCGTCATATTATCACTCAGGTTGACGTCGTACGGCCAGAGTTTGTCGGTGCTGCTGACGTGGGTGAAGCTGCGAGGCGACACCTCAGGCTGGGCGCTGCACGGGCCAGACATCATCCTCGAGGTTAAAATTAATTATTAGAATTTTAAATCATAATTAAGAATTAATTATGACAGTTAATAATTAATTAAGAATTAATTATGACAATTAATAATTAACTAAGAATCAATTATTACAATTAATAATTAAGTAAGAATTAATAACCTGTAATTTTAATGATTGATGATGATGTTTATTATAATAATTCTAATAATTTATTAATTAGAAAGAAAATAATTATATTTACTTTAAAATTTTTTCCCTCGTTCACTCGAATAATTCGTGCCAGATGTTGATGATTGGTTGTGATAAATTCGATTTTAAAGGTAGATTGTATAGATTTAGGTAAAATTTTTGTGTATTGTTCATGTAACACATTGATGCATGAAGCTAGCATCCTTTGCTTTTTGCTGTGTCATGGACGTTGATGTAATATTTTACCTAAATTTGGTTTTCGTTACTATGGCTGCAATTCCCCCTGTGTATTTTTCAAACCTACAGTTTGAATTTTTAACAACTTCCTGGGATTTATAACTTTGAATTGAATAGATTAAATACTGCATTTAAAATACTGTGGCTTTAATATGAATATCAGTGAGGAAAGATTGGTTGTGTGCAGGGCGGTGGCTACCGCATCGCTCAAGGCTACGATACGCACGGGGGCCGCACTAACGCGCGTATCAACATACGCCTTCACGAGCACGGCTGGTATCACTTCCCTAAGGTGGGGACGTCAGACCATTTAATATTATGTCATTTTAGAATTAAATACAATCTCTTCACCTAATAGTGAATTTATTAATTTTTTGATTAATTTAAAGTTACAATGTTTTGGTCTTAAGATATTACGTAGTCACATACTGTATCAATGCTGTTAGATCAAAAACGAGGAACTTGTGAGAAATCAGAAGCGGGATAAGATGAGTGTAATTAATGCGAATGATGTTAAAATCTCAATTAAAGTTTAAAATATATTAAATTATCATTTGATAATCCACAGGAATTTATCACTAAACTTTCATTGTTTCGGAAAAGGTATGAAAACGACATCATAATTTTTCATAACGAAAAAATGCAAAATCAAATTGAAAAACGTGCTCCTCCTTAAATCAACGTTGGAATAATTGTAGATTTTAATCGTAATAATAATATTAAAATAATATAATATAATGTAGGTAATATAATATAATATAATATAATATAATATAATATAAGTGTAGAAAATAATATAGTATAGTAGTATCTTCGGGATTGAAGACTAGGCCTGGATAGGCCTATGCTATAATTCTATTCCATAATGGTACTGTGTGTGCGGCAGGACGTTGGCGACATGCCCCTGCAGTTAGACCCGCGGGACTACCAGCAGGGGGAGGTGACGCGCGCTCAGATGATGTCGGTGCTCAGTGACCTGCAGCAGCTGCTCATCAGGGCGCGCTACCACACCGTGCAGGTCGAGAGCGTGTGAGTGAGGCAGGGATAACCTTCAGCTTAACTTAATTATCGGGAGACTTTATATCGATACTTCATAACATAACATAACAAAGTGATGCCGGCGCTAATGAGTAGGCCTGATGTGGCCTGTCGCCGATTCTTTTACTTTTCGTGACTTGCTCACAGAAGATCTAAAATCGTGTCATTTGACCGGATCTTTTCAGGACTGACGATAGTTTTAAATAGCTGATAGACTTCAAACGGGTTCGAAATGGTGTTAGGCATTTCAAGTCTGAACATATATTTTTCCAGAGCTTTCTTTATCCAGTCTGTTCATGAACATATTTTTACTTTGAGCGTCAACGATGTAATCAGGGTAATTCAGCAATAGTCTACTTAAATCGCAAGATCACTAAGAATTTAAAGTAATGAAATCGTAAAATGTGGGTAATGGTGAATATACGACGGTTTGGCGTTTTCTCTGTTTTAAAATTCTTGGTGCTTTATATTTATATTTTTAATTCATACACATCCGTTTTAATAAGGTAGATGTACGATCAACTTCACGTATGATTTGTAACGAAGTGTTTCTACTTCGCTGGCCTGAAAATGTCATGAGACAAAATAAGTTACGAAGATTTGTCTGAATATTCTTGAATTTGGAAACAGCGTAGGCCGGTAAATGTAGTGTTCAATACAATGTTTCATCTACTATCAGTGAAATTAATAAAACAGAGGAATTTCGCAGAAAGGACGAATTAAAACCCAATAAATACAACATTATAGGTGTTGATCTTTTATACATAATTGCAAAGATGACGTATGTAATCAACATTTCAACTTGCGTTTTGAAGCAATGTTATGTTGAAGATACAAGGGCCTCGTGCAGGTCATTGGATTTATTATTAAACAGCGTGTTTGCACAGCTCATAAGGTGATAATTTAGTATTGTGGCCAATGCAGGAAATCTTTCTTAAATACATTCATGACTTACTGGGGACACATTGAACAATTTTTCGCTGTCGTTTAAAAATTGTGCTCATCTGAACCCAAGATCAAATTAAATTAAATAAAATTTACTTTTTGCTGGATATCCGTCGGTTATGTGGCTTGATCACTATTTTATTGATGGAAAATCTTTAATCAGTTTAGATTCAAAGCTGTAATATTTTTTCTTATGCTTCCGAGGTGATCTTGATCTTTCATGAAGTAAATTTCTCTTTTTTTTAGGTTGCACTCTTTGCCCTTGTGGAGGTCATCCCGATTCCATTTAACCCAAAAAATTGTTGGATTAGTGTTGGAGTGGTAAAAAATAGGTTCTAGGTGATAGCAATTTGGACAATATGAGGCAAGAATGTTTGTGTGTGCAGGCTGCACGGCGTGGCGCTGGAGTACGGCAAGGAGGGCGCCTCGACCACAACGCTCGTCACGGGCGCCGTCGAGCGCTGCATCTGCCCGCCTGGTCTGTCTCGTCTCATGAACCCTACTTATATTATAACATTAATAATATATAGTATAATAGCAAATTGGGAATATGGTAGTAGCAAAACGGAATTCTGGTGTCAAAATGGTGCCTCGTCTTAACAACTCTGCTTATATTATAACAATAATAATCTATAATATTATAGCAAATTGGGAATATAGTAGAGGCAAAACTAAATTCCGGTGTCAAAATGGTCCAGGAATGATAGTAGCATGAAAACTTGGACACAGTATAAAAAATTTAAACGTTGTATGAGGACTGTTGCTCATCGTTCAAACAATTTTCAATTCTGGCACACTTGCAAATTTGTTGAAATTCTTTGGCTTGATTCTGTTGAATATTCAGGAGCTATTCATTAAAATATATTCTAACCTTCGAAGTGAAATTACCCTGTTGCTGACTTACCTACTCCTAAAACTATAATATTATACAGTTTTAAAGTTCGTTTTGTCTAGTTTATGTTGTTGTTTCTCGCCTGCACTGCTAGCCCTTGAGCTATTTTAATTATAGCCATCCTTAACGCTGCCAAATTACGAGTGCTTGAGTTGCTTCATTCTGAGAGCCATTTTAGAAAATAGGCATCATTTCTTTTACAGGATACGAGGACATGACCTGCCTATCTTTGCATTTAATTTGCTTGATATTAATAATAAGAACCCCTTATGCTCCTTAGGATTCGACGCCCTTAGCTGCAAATCTTTATAATAATAATAATAATAACAATAATAGCTGTTTCAGCGTTTAGTAGGCCGTACGCCTGTGGCCGATTCTTAACATAGCAGAACATTCACAGCATTTTGCGGTCTCGAACTCGCAACTCACTGCTACAATTCTGCTGTGCTTAACCGCCCGGCCTCCTCGCCGATTCTGACCTACCCTACACCGGCGCCTGTGGGGTGAGTGCAGCAGCAGGGCTCCTTACCCTACACCGGCGCCTGTGGGGTGAGTGCAGCAGTAGGGCGCTTAACCTTTCACTGGTCGCGTGAATTACGTTTGTCGGAAATCGACCTAACCAAAACCGACCAAAAAGGCGACCAATCTGGTTAGCTTTTGCACCCTCATTATTTGGGGTTAAAGGAGAAATGCTTGTTTTAAGGCTGTTCTTCATTCGCTTTTGGAATTCTTTCATTTTTGGATCACATTTGTCAGCCTGCGTTCTCGCAACGATGCCGAGGTTTTGTTAGCCAACGCTAGAAGTTTTTATGATATTGGGACCCTACACGCCTACATAGCTTGGCTTTTTATCACTAGCCGTTATCAGTTTACGTGCAAGTGGAAAATATTCTTCCTCGGAAATGAAAAAGTTTTCTCAAGCGACCTGGTGGAGAATTCTTCAAGAACGCTTAGTCGTTTGCGCATAAGCTACAGAATGTTAGACCATTATGACGCTTTGAAGAATTTCGGAGCAAGCGCCATGATTTCGTTTTGATAACTTATAACGGTATCTACTATAATTGTATTTAACTTCATCATTCTTGCGGTTATAAGTCAGGAAACCTGAAAACTGATTATATATATGGGTAACCTATAGGTTTCCTACACGTGGCGTCTATGGTGACGAGAGATTAGTCCTTCATATTATTTCGTGTGAAAAAACTTGATATAAAATTACAACGCGTCAGGAATGTCTGCACTACACAACGGGTCCCCACTGCGACCAATGCTTGCCGGGGTTCTTCGGGGACCCCACGACTGGGGACCCTGACGCCTGCCAGCCCTGCTCGTGCCCGCTGCCCGTAGCCACGAACCACTTTATGCCCGTGTGCAGTGCCCGCGGGATGACGTACGGGGTGCGGGAGAAGTTCGTATGCGACTGTCCCGTGGGATACGAAGGACTGCAATGCGAGAGGTGAGACGTTGTCCAACATAGATCATTTATTGAAAAATTTAGGTGTATTATGTGATATTTACAACTTAAAAAAGTACTAAATCACCAGGAAAGCTTATTATTTATATTGAAAGTATCTTGAAAAAGTACCAGTTGATCACAGAGTAAACTTTTCGTATTGAAAATAATGGCACAACTTTTGCTGTCAAATTATGTTGTGATAAGATGTTTCACTACGCATATTGTACTCTTATGGTCAGATGCGCTGACGGTTTCTTCGGCTCGCCGCTGGTGCCAGGGAACTATTGCCAGCCTTGCGACTGCAGCAACAACGTGAGCCCCGTAGAGCGCGGCGTGTGTGACTCCATCACGGGCCAGTGCCTTAAGTGCCTCGGCAACACCGCGGGCTGGCGCTGCGAACTGTGCCGCCCCAACCACTTCGGCGACCCATTACGGTGAGGTGTTTACGGTGGTGGCTGCTTACGGTGAGGTGATTACGGTGGTGGCTCCTTACGGTGAGGTGATTACGGTGGTGGCTCCTTACGGTGAGGTGTTTACGGTGGTGGCTCCTTACGGTCCTTACGGTCCGCATCGTTATGGTAGTGCCGCCTTACGGTCAGCAGCGTTTTGGTGGTGGCTCCTTAGGGTTTGCTGCGTTATGGTGGTAGCTACAAACGGTCAGTAATGTGTGGATGGCGACAATTACGGTTATCCCTGTTTAGGCAGCAACTTGATACAGTCAAATTACTCGAGAATAGAGCCTGCCGTCAGTAGCTTGCTCATAATATCATTATGCTTTAAATATTACGATTGTTTCACCAGCAAGCACGAGAGTGAATAGCCTTGAATGTTATTATTGTCCAACTCTAAACATTTCATTGAAGCATAACTTCATAACCTTTTCAACGCTCGGACTGACACAAGCGCACGACTTGATGCCACCAAACAGCTTAGTTCTACTCGGGAATTGCATGAAACCTTCCCTGCAACACCAGGCCGCAGATACAATATGACTTCCGTGTCATAGTTAGAATACGTAACTTTTAGCTCGCAGTATCTAGTCCTAACTTTCATATAGTAAAGTTAGATTTCATAATCAATCGTATTTTGATGAGTGGCCATTCGATCGTTGGATGGCGACACTCAAATCGTGTTGAACTGAGGTTTGACTCTAGTGAAGAACTCACCCTTGATATTCTCGTGTTTGTTTGCAGAGGACAATGCATCCCCTGTGGGTGCGTGCAGCCTGGGTCTGTAGGGGACACTTGTGACCCCAGCACGGGACAGTGCCAGTGCCGTCCTCTGTATGTGGGACGGCAGTGCCACCGGTGCCAGGTCAGCGCAACCGTCACATATTATTCTATTTCAGTGCCACAACATACTTTATTGCTGGGTCCCGTCCTACGCTAGTGGGGGAGATGTGGATTTAAAGCCCACATCCTCACCTGTTGAATTAGAACTTTTTTCCCATTGGCGGCACGCGCGCAAAATTAAGTTATTTTATATTTAAATTATTTGTTGGAGCAACTGTTTTTATGCAAAAACGATTAAAAAGTTTATAATTTCTTTCATGGGTATCGAGAAATTGCTAACAATTAGGAGGTTCCTGTCTCAGAAATAAGATAATGAAAATAACATACTGCGTTAATCTTCCAGCATTATATAGCTTTGACCCGCTTATTACAACACTAACCCCGAGTATCATTTACAAATTATTGAATAATTAACTTGTACCGTCGTGGTGATGGTGGTCAGGAGGGTCACGGGGACGTGGAGGCAGGGTGCCCGCCATGCCGCTGCTCCCGACGAGGCTCCTACAGCGCCACCTGCGATCCCGTCACGGGACAGTGTCCCTGCAAGCCTGGTCAGACAATAGACGCTCTACAATATACTACGTAGATACAATGTACTGTTCACAATATCCTGTGTACGATTACATGTACGTATACAATCTTGTGTGCAATATCCTATATATAAGCAATATCCTATTCACGATATTCTGCGTAGCATATACTGTATATGGTAACATCTTCATAACATACTATGTACAACATCCTGGTTAACGCAGTATTTTCAAATAGTTAGAGGAAAGACAGTTTGAAGAATTCGCCGGACAAGCCGCTATTGTTGAGGTCGTAACTCTCTATTCACTAATTTGCTTGGTTACACAATCCATTGGGAGCAAGAAATAAAAAGCCATCCGGGTTTTTTTTTTCACTGGAGAAATGTTGAGATGATGCGACTGTTTCATTCCTCCTTAATAATCAATTAAAGAGTTGCTGCATATGTTACTGCTGGTGTAACTGACGGTTTTTATGATTATTATATTGTATTGTTGAAAAAGGATCCATTTTATGCTTAAATATATTATTTATCTTCGTGAAATGATTGATTTCGCACGCAGGCGTAGGAGGGAAGACGTGCAGCAGCTGCTTGGACGACCACTACGGTAACCTCTCCGACGGCTGCTCCGGTGAGTACTGCCATACTTCGTCCTTCGTACTCAGCAAAACTCATTGCCTTGGCCACCCATACGCCTGCTAACCTACTTGTAAATTTCTCAACTTATGATTTCTGAACTTCTATGCTAAAACCATGATGGAATTCTTCATTGAATACCTCTATTGAATCACGATCACTGTTCTTTGTTGGTCATAAACGCTCATAATGCCATTGTTGCGCCAGACTGTCACGGTAAAGTTACCAACATGTAATTGGAGTACACCAAGGCTTGCTACTGAGAGACCAACGTGTAATAAGAGTACTAATGTTTGGCATTGAGATACCAGCGTGTAGTTAGGAGTACCAATGCTTGGCATTGAGATATCAGCGTGTAGTTAGGAGTACCAAGGCTTGGCATGGATATACCAGCGTGTAGTTAGGAGTACCAATACATGCAGTTTGAACAGTCAATACGAGTTAATTAGTGGGGAGTCAGTATATCAGCTGGTCTAATGGAAACAATAATGAGTGAAATCAGGATACTATATTATTCTAATTTAGATCTAAACGCATGTTATTTCAATACCAACGTTCTAACTTTAAATGCTGCTACGTGATGTGAAGATACGTGAATGCACAACAGAAATGTCATCAATAATAAATTCTATTGTTTCAGACGTTTACTTGAAATTTCGACGTATTAATATGTCAAATTAAAAATCGCTACTGACGATTTTCAGTTAATGTTCGTTATAGTTTATATAGCAGATGCTTTATAGAAGTGCGACGCGCGTGCCATGCACTGCCTCCGAACTAATGGAATGTAATGCCCGGAATAGGTGATGGATTAATGCATTTCGGCGTGGCTATCGATGCATTTCCATGGAAAATATGATTAATTTTTTTAAAGTTTTATCGATATTCAGTATTTGGGCAATTTAATATTGAAACCACCATTCCATCTTATTAGGTTTTATTTACGTAGCGTTTCTATTCTCATTGAAATTGTTAACACTTCACTTCCGAGTTCATGTGCGCTGCCGTTGCGAACTTGCAGAGCACAGTTGGCCTCCCGCGGCCGGTGAGTGAGGTGGTGTGGTGCTGCAGCGGTGCAGTGAACTCTGTGCACTCGCTTGACCCAGTGCAATGGTGCAGCGTTGGTAGGTGCTGCACCGATAACGAGTCTCTTTCGTGATAGTTGTTGGGACTGCAGTGACATCCTCTTTCTTGCTTCGCCCAATGATCTGAAACACTGAACGAAATTACACATTCATAAATTACAATATTTATGTGAGCGCATTGGAAACATTGTAGAAACTGGTCCATTTCTTTGGTGGAATTTTGCAATCATCGGAGTATTTAAGTAAAGTTTTGAAATGGAATTTTGTTTAGAATTGCTTTTTGAATTATATTGGAAATCATAAAACTCACTCTTTCACCGTCGTTGTTCTGTTGGCGAAGCTGAATAATCATTATTTTAAAAGTGCCCAAAGTTATTCCCTGATCTGTGGAAATTTAGGTAATTAAAATCTATGTTCAAGCACATTACTCAATTATCATTAAAACAAATCTAGGTAATAAAAATAGCAACACAGCAGTTATGCTAAAATCGATGCACCATATATTGCCTTTAATAAACCAAGTTTTTCTCTTAAAAATCTTCTGTCGTTACAACAATCGAATCTCAAATTGTAAAAAGAATTTGCATGCCGCATAATAGTTACCTCTTAGCATTGGCCGTGGAATTGATTGATATAATATGTGTTCGGGAGTAACGGGACTATACGTGCACGTGGAGCTCTTCATTCTGGCATTGCTCGTGCGATTCTCTAGTCTGGAAAAACACCTCTCAGTCACAGACGCGCCTGAAATACGATGTCATAGACGCGCCTGAAAATACGATGTCATAGACGCGTCTGAAAATACGATGTCATGGACGCGCCTGAAAATACGTCATAGACGCGTCTGAAAATACGATGTCATGGACGCGCCTGAAAATACGATGTCATGGACGCGCCTGAGAATACGATGTCATGGACGCGCCTGAAAATACGATGCCTCAAAATACGATGTCATAGACGCGCCTGAAAATAGACGTGCCTGAAAATACGATGTCATAGACGCGCCTGAAAATAGACGTGCCTGAAAATACGATGTCATGGACGCGCCTGAAAATAGACGTGCCTGAAAATACGATGTCATGGATGCGTCTGAAAATAGACGTGCCTGAAAATACGATGTCATGGACGCGCCTGAAAATACGATGTCATAGACGCGCCTGAGAGGCCAGTCGTCGTATAAACGCCTTGAACGTCGCTCTGGCAGCTCCAAAATAAGGCGTGGGCGGCAAGGCCAAGTCCTGCAGACGGCATTTGTGGCGGCCAACTATAGCATCGATCACCCCTGCAACATCACGCCAGCTAAACCTGCTATTGCCAGGGAATTTTTTTTATTCTTAAATTTCGGTAGGAATAGCATTGTGAATTCAAGGACAATCTATCTTCGTGGGCATTAACCTTGTGATGTCCGAAAAATTTTCAACTCTAGCGCGAATTGTACTATAGGAATATTTTTTTAGGTTTTGCCATCGCTCAACAGATTGCTATTCTTGTTTTACTTCATTGGGTTCATTTATATGTATTGTTGAGCACGATTTTCAATCGTGCCCTTATTTAATGATAAAAATTTGATTGTTCGTTAGAACTCCATTGATTTAGTCTAGTCGGCGACTAGAGGATAGCTATACATTTTTTCACGTTATCGGCCGTGCTATAAAATGGTCTGTATATGCATCGGTGTTGCTGTGTAGTGAACTTACAGAACTGAGGCCGTATTATCAAAACTTCGTAAGTACGTAAAATCGACTTATGAGTGGCGTTACTATGACAACGTAATACTAGCGATGGTATTATAGAAACATTTGCGCGGGGAAAATTTTAGGCTTTTAGCCAAGACTTGCGTACGAAAGTTTTGATAATGCCAAAATTAGGGTGTATTTACGTACCACAGAACTTTTTTGTCGTAAGTACAAAAAGTTACGAAGTTTTGATAATCCGGCCCCTGGTACAATAGTTTCAATTTCATTTTTGCCCGCTCTGCCATTTCGCCGTTTCTGACAAATGTTATCATTCGTGCAGGCTCCGACGTGGTACAAATTCTAAATCTTAGAGATTTCTCTTTGTTCTTATGAATTGGTGACACAATTGGATTTTGAAACTCCATCTGGAAGGAATGAAATTTGGTGACGGCGACTAGGACAACGCAAAGGACTTGCATTGTGTTTTTTATTGAATTCAGCTTTTGCTCCGAACTTACTTATAAGATCACAACCCACGATGAACTGAGACAATGCTTCGTGTTATACATCCTGCATAATATCGGAGTGAGACTGGAGGACTTTTTATCAAGACTGTAAGAGTGTAGTAAAAAAATTTATTGCTCTTATTATGTCAACTCATGTGCAAGTTATTTACTGCTCGTAATCACTGCACGTGAGGTTGCTCCCTGGTGGTTATTTACCTTGAGTTTGACGTGTAACACGAGGCGCAGTTGTAGGAGGGCCGCAGCCGCCTAAACCTGTCCATCACACGGGAGCTTTACTACCGCATTCACTGCAAGCCTAGATGAGTTCCTTCCTTTATTATTTTGCTCTTCTTGCCGTGCACAATTGAACTGAAGTAATTATGAAGCATAATTTATTCAAGTTATAATATTAATCGTTGGCTGCGAACTCTAAGCCTACAGAAAAATTTTTTATAAGAGGTCGTCAATTACCAATGTGGTGAAATGTGTACAGTGGCTTCTATCTAACTACCTTAATAGTGATGTTGATCCTCACGAGTTCAAGTGTCGGGGATTAATTCGACTGTGACGCAAAGTTTTGACTCGCGTTTGAACTCAAGACTGAACTTTGTGTTTTCTGTAGTTTGGATGCCATCCAAATTTGATTGAAATTTATGTATTATTGGAAATTCACGTATCGTTTTACTAATATTGAATACCGATCGTAGGGTCATTACTCCTGGTAATCGTGTCATCATTCTTCTGTTAAATAAATTGTGCAATCTCAAGTATGAGCGAAATCAGCACTGCCATCGTGTTTCTAGTCAAACTATCTTTTAGGCCACAATTATCGTTTTCTACTGTACAAGTTGCTACACAACCTAGCGCGGTCATGTCTATACTCTAGCAAGAATAAACTCTGCAGCAAACTAATGCCAAGTCGGAGCTATGATTCGCACGAGGAGGAAGCACTGGTCTGGACGGACGTTATGTTTATCGTTCTTATTCCTGCTGGTGGCGAATGTCTCCGCTGTGAATGCAACAAACGGAACTGTTTCTTCTAAAGCCGGCGATTCTTTTAAGGAAATTGGTGCTAATAATGGCAGTGTTACTGACGAAACTTTGGAAACTGAAAATCCAGAAGGTGTTGACATTACTCTTTCTAAGATTAATTTCAAAGGAGAGAACGATATAGATGATGAGCAAGTGTCTTCAGTTCAGTTTATGGAACAAAACTATCGGTTTTCAACCACTGAAAAGTCTCCTGAGGCGCTAGCAGGAACTACCCCCAGTCCAGCGATCACTTCCACGTCTACGGCGTGGGAAAATATTTTCTTCCGGAACCAATCGACAACGCTTCCGGTCCCGGCCCTCCCATCCACTGCCCAAAATTTCAGTTTTACAATGTTCAATCTTTCTGATTTCTTCCCTGACACTGACGGAGAAATCGACTCATTTTATGATGTATATAATGATACTTTATTTTACTCATGGCTTAGTGACCACATGGACAATTTTACGGGCAATGAGAAGGAAATCGATAGTTTTGGTGACTTTGCAGATGCTGGTGATTTACTTAATTTGCATTACTCAGTTTCACCTCACCAGATCGATGACGACTTTTACGTTAGAGTTGGTCGCGCTCAAGACGATGTATCGTACCGTAAGTGGCGATATAAATTGACTGATAGAGAAAATAACCAGAATAATCCTCGAAACTCTAATGCTCCCATAACGAGAAATTTAGAC